TGCGAGTATAAGTATGCTAATTGAAACGTGCCCTAAACTAACCATCATAAGCTGGTAAATAAAAGGGAGAAAGACGTGGGGTTGGAAGACATGCATCACACACACACGCACACTTATTGTAACATTGCCCTCCTCGGAGGGTCCGAATGAATAGTACAGAATAAACTAGCTAATCTAAGCTAATTAAACTAATTATTACACAACATTAATTAATTAACGAATTAACTAAGTAAGTAAGGAAACTAGCATGCAAATTAAACAAAATCGACTGCCTCAGCTTTGTTCCGAATGATAAGGATGCATGCATGCTCAAGTCGCCTTGTCGGGAAATCCATCACGATGCCCTGGTTTGCCTCTGTTTGCAACTGGTCCCAGAACACTGTACAAAGCTCCAGAAGGCTGCTGACCAATTTTTTGCTGCTGGTTTCCAGTTTGCTGTAACAGAGAGCGAAAAAGGGGCATGGCAAAGTATTTTTAACATATGTGTGCATAACTACTCTCTCCATCATTGCACAAGCTCCAGGGAGTGTAGTCCTCGATCCTCGTGCCACCAATCACGCATCTCGGTGCATGATGGCTGAGGAGTCGAATTGCACGGCTCGATGTAAAATGAATGCACATATAAACACAATAAGGCCTAAACTCCATCATGGATAATCCGGAGTGTCGGCAAACGAGAATCAAGGCACGTTTCGTCACTTGGAGTACGAAACGTCCCTCATTTCCCGTGTTTGGACTAAACCCTATTCCAAACACAATGCAATATACATGGCATACACAATACGACTAGCATGCAACCCTAAAAGCAATGCAATCTAATCATGCTAGCATGCGAGGGATGATATGCAAACATGCAACTAGCATACACAATGCTATGAACTAAGAATGGCATACTCAATGCACATAAACTATATGGCATACGCAATGCACATACGAAGATGGACATGCACGAAGACATGAACAATGCATACACAATGCGACGATCAAGCATGTGACAACATGGATATGGTATACATAATGCAAGATGGACTTAAACTAAAATGAATGGGCTTCAGCCACACTCAAATCAATGGCCATAAATGATGAAAATGAAGCAACAACACACATGCAAACATGCACAAATGCACAGGGCCAAACCTAAGGCACAAAGTGCAACTCCACCAAAGCATGGTAAGCATGAAATATGGCATACAATCACATATTTTCCAGCTCTGAAAGATTTTTAATCTTATCAATCAAAGTATTCATAAATTCAGTATTGTCTCTTTTTGGTTCCAAAATTGATAGACATTCTTACCTAGTCCCAAGTTGTTCTCCTATGATACTCCAGAAATTTGTGATTGTAAAACTAATATTAACCAAATAGCATGCAATGTAAGCTAGTAAAGAGGATTTGCACTACAAGCATGTGAGGCAATCAAGAGGCCACTAAACCAGCAAAAGTCAGAGGTATGACATGCCAAATAAAGCCAAAAAATCCACTGAAACATGGTTAATGCATGCAAGAATGAGATGTTCCTTTGATATGCTATGAAGAGGGTTATTCTACACATGTAAGATGGACATCCAATATGGCAAAACAAGCTCTGGATAGAGCCTATGCAGGTCCTAAAACTCATCAAAAATGGCCTGAAACATGGCTTGGAAGCATGCAAATAAGGGCTCCTTTGTAAGGCTAAAAATCCTAGAAAATAAAACAAGGAGAGAGATGGTCACCCTTCTTTGATTTTGGCACTCAAAATAGCATGCTAGCCACTGAAAATCCACTGGATTTTAGTGGCTAAAAGGCCCAACAAAGGGCAACACAAATGCTCTAAGGCGTGGCTCAAAACAAGGTAAAATGAAGCATGCAAGGGGGTAGATGACCCCCAACAGAAACATGATCTTAAACAAACATGTTAAGGGCCTCAAAATAAGACTTTTTTCAGTTTACACCGAAGCTTAAATATGCTTGCAAGTATGGCTAAAAGATGGAGCAAAATAAAGCTTAAAAGAGGGAATAGTGTGTTACCCTTGTAGCTTCAGCAAAACCAGCAACTTCTTGGACAAAAAACCAGCTCTTTGAGACCTCTCAAGACCCTCCAAGAACCTTAGATCAATGGTGGAGGTGTGTGGCTATGAGGTGTGGTGTTAAAGGCCAAGAACAAACACCATTTCTAAGCCTAGAATGTAGAGATATAGAGAGATATATGTGCTTTTCCTTAGACAATTTTTTTTCAACCTCTCTAAAGGAGAGGGAGGCCCTCTCTTATAGAGAAACAAGAGGGTTCAAGCTTCTTGGAGAAGTTAGAGCAAAAGGTTCAAGTTTCTTGGAGAAGCTTGAGCAAAGGTTCAAGCTTCTTGGAGAAACTAAAGCAAAGGTTCAAGAGGTTCAAACTTCCTCAAGAAGCTAAAGCGAAGGTTCAAAAGGTTCAAGCTTCCTCAAGAAGCTAAAACGAAGGTTCAAAATGCAAGAAGCTAAAACAAGTGTTCAAAATGTTCAAGCTTCCTCAAGAAGCTAAAACGAAGATTCAAAAGGTTTAAGCTTCCTTACGAAACTAAAACGAAGGTTCAAAATGTTTAAGCTCTCCAAAAATCGTGCCAAACGGGAAAAGTTAAGCGGTCCCAAACTGAGGCGCACGGCCGACGGCTCTGAAAACCGGAAACTAGTCTCCAAACGGGAACGGTGGTCTGCGACCATGAAAAGTAGCCTACGGCCACTGAAAGATGGTCTACGAGACCTCTCCCTCCCCTCGGGAAGAGAAAACAAAACTTGATTCGCAAACCGAGGCAAAGCACCAAAGAGTCCCGAAGTCCGGAGGCAAGGCTCTCAGCCGAGACTCTGTAACTTCAGAACGAGCACAACATGCGCAATCACCGAGCGCTCAATCGATGACGTCTGAGTCTTAAAGTCGGTCAAAAATGGGGTGTCTATAATGGTAATAAACTCTTTTCTCAATAATAAATAAATGACAAGTATTCTGATTATAATGTCCTTCTATTTCATATGATTCAGATATACAAAAGATAAAACATGCGATTATATATTTATAAGTTCTAACTGAATCTATAACATGTGTTATAACGAGAATTATGAAATAAAAGTTAAACAGATAGTAAATGTCTTAAAGGCTTATAACTTCCCAAGACAATGCTTGGATGCTCACCCCTAATTCTCCCGTCTTCATTCTTGTCTTGTTATGTGTGGAAAATTTTATTTTCATACACTTAATTATCTTAGTGCACATTTTCTCTCAATACACACACTTATTAATTAACTTTTTCAATCCACATACTAAAAGTTACAATTATACCATTCACTTATAATCATTGTATACACCAATCAACCTTCATTTCCAACACTTGTTAAGTGACCCTACCTCCAGATTTGTAGATCCATTGTAGACTCACGTGAAGACCATTCAAGACCACAGCGTGAAGTAAAGTGAAGTGAAGGCAAAATCCTCTATTGAATACTCTATTGAACCTCCATTGAAAACACTATTGAAAACCTTCTAAAATATTGTTGAAGATGAGACTTCTTTCCATTTTATTATAGCATTTGCCATTTTGTTATTGCATTTACTATTTCTAAATCTCTGTGGACTCTATTTCCGTAAAATCCTCTTTTTTTTTCTTTCTTTTTTCTTTTTTCTTTTTTAATGTTTTTCGGTTTGGGGATTTTGGCACTGATTTTCCAAAATTATACATTTAATTTGAAACTTAACTTCCAAATAAAAGTGATTAGTTCGACAAATTTGTTCCAAAAAAAAAAAAAAAAACTTTCAGTAGTTGATGTCCAAATATAATGAAATAATTCAGCACTGATTGTCTGACCGAAAACCGCGAAAGGGGAAAAAAAAAATTTGGAACGAAAAAACTAACATTTTCATCACTAATAGAGTATAAACCTAGAGATTAAAACAATATGAAAGTTGTTATGAGAGTATTGCTTTGCAAGCAATATAGGAGTATAGAGTGTGTAGCAAATAAAGTGACAACAATGAAAAAACTATAAGGTTTAGTTTTTTTTTTTTTTTACTCAAAAAGTGTACATTGAATTTTTTATTTTTTTATTTTTAAAAGATGTGTATAGAGAATATTTTCATATAATATTATGAGCGTCGGTAGATGTCCAGTATGGTCATTTTAGTTTCGAGTATAATTCAATGTGTTTGGTTTGAGTTTTCTGCATTAAGTTTTTTGAAAATTGAGTTTTTTGATTTTCGTATTTTTTTGTTTTTAGTGAATATTTTTTAAATTTTATACATTTTTTTTTTTACTTTTTTAGATGCACCTTACTTTGATGTTTCTAAAAAGTAAAAAATTTGTAAAAAAATATTTTAAAAAATTAATAAATACAAAAAAATGTACTTAATTCTTGTATTTTTTTTTATATTTTTGGTATTTAATGAATTTTTAAAAAAAAAATTTTACATTTTTTTTTACTTTTTAAGTGTATTTATGTTAGGTGTGTCTAAAAAGTAAAAAAATTCGGTAAAAATAAAAAAATACAAAAAATAAGAAAATAAATTTTTTTGAAAAATATTTTTAAAAAAATGAAACCAAGCAAAATTTGTTATTAAAATAATATTTTATTAAGTATATGCATTGAGGTAACTTAGTGTGTGAAAATAAAATTTCCCGTGATGTGTCCCTCCATGTCCTCCACCTCCTCCACTTTAGGCTCCTTATTTCTCAACATTCTCCATCATCTTTTCCACATATACTCCATATTTTCATAACTTCCTTTAACCTCAAAGTGCACACACAATACCATGTGTCCTACAATTATAAATAATAACAAAAAAATATATATTTATTTAGGGTGCCAACAGACATACAAAATATTTTTTTTACAAACTGGTGTAATTATGCAGTAATATAACCTTGAAAATGTGAAATAGGGCTCAATTTACAAATATAATAAATATCACATCAATATGTAAATTTTGCTTCTGTATAACACTATCCCACAACTATAAGATAAAGCTAAGGTCTACTATCCACAAAACACCCCATCCCTAATCTCCTCAAGTATCCATAAAATCATATTCTAGGTACAATACAACAGAAGTATACCAACATTTCAAAGAAACATCAATAATAGATACATGAGCCAAATTAAATATAAGAACTGTACAGTAATCAACCAATATTTGGTGTAATATATGTCCGAATTCCAGCTTAAATCTTCTTTCTTACGTCATTGTTTTACTCCTGTTTAAGTAACAATTGCGAACGCAACTTGGTCCCTCATATCTTTCAAGCATGAATAGGGGAAGCAGAAGGCCTAGGATAAGAAGCAGCTTTTCCATCGCAACCTTCATCAGCACATGTCGTGCGACAATCAGGATTGTTGCTTGCATTGCTGTGATAATTTTGGTCTTTTAAGTCCTGAAGATGCTCCAATGCTTTCACAACCTCAATCATGGTCGGCCTGAACTTGGGTTCAATGGCTAGGCATTTGATTGCAAGGGTAGCGGCTCTTAGTGCTCCACTCAACGAGTATTGGCCTTCAATACGGGAATCCATAACACGAAGAATCCGGCGTTTACTAGTTAGGTAAGGTTTTGCCCATTCAACAAGGTTATGTTCCCCAGTTGGACGGTTCTTGTCAACCGATCGCTTGCCTGTCAGCATTTCAAGGAAAACAACCCCGAAACTGTAGACGTCACTTTTGGCAGTTAAATGACCTTCATAAGGAGAGAATGAACTACGGATCAGTGGAGAGAGAATGAAATTGAGAAGAACCAGAAATACACACTACCATGTTAGTTGCAGCAAGAACCAGAGCCATATACAGTTGGAAATGGATAATATAGAAGATAAGATAACAATGCCATCAAGGCAATTTGTGGAAGAGTTATGGAGATAGAACTTTCTATCAAAGTCTTCAGAGGGGAAAAATATAATTGGCAATGGCAATAGAAAAACAAAACGAAAGGTGCTCACTCATCATACTGATGATCTCAACCTGTAGGCGAAAAGGTATTTATCAAATTATAGGAAAAGCAAAACAAAGTTGCCATGACAAGTGTTAGATGACGTCAAGGATAATAAGATACAACCACCCAGACCTAACCATCTTTAGAAGTCAACATAGGTCACTAGTTTTTGATGTACAGGGTTTCATATAAGCATGTGAAAATAATTGCATATTTGTTCCAAATGACAAAGGCCAAAGATTGGAATAAAAAAGACAGACACACAAACCGAAGCAAAGAAATCAGTGCTGCTAATAGTAGCAGTGTGGAGTCACAAAAGAAAAGAAGATCATAAGATATAATGGTTTGAGAAAGAGCATAGCATGCCTCAAAGATCTTTTGACATGAAAAATAAAAAAAGAACACAGCTGAGAATTTAGAATACCGGTTGCCAAGTACTCAGGAGCAGCATATCCAAATGTGCCCATGACCCTTGTAGATACATGGCTTTTACCATCTGCTGGTCCATCTTTTGCCAACCCAAAATCAGAAAGCTTTGCGTTGTAGTTCTATCAGTTAGAAATAGAAAGTATATGAGAGAGCAGAACTAGCTGAACTTTTTGCTAAAGTGACACAATTAAACCATTAGAATATTTCTCATACAGAATCAAGCAGGATATTAGACGTTTTGAAATCACGATATATGACTCTTGCTTCTGGACTGTGAAGATATGCAAGTCCCTTGGCAGCACCAAGTGCAACCTTTATACGGAGGCTCCAAGAAAGCGGTTGGAAGTAAGAACTTCCTGTTCAAACAACACCTGATGTTTTAATGTAAAGTATTGAAGTACATGAAAATGTTCAGCCTCCCAGAAAACAACAGGAGAACATGTGAAATTGGCTAAAGAAATAACGAACCCTAAAAACTCACTCCTGAATAGATGATTTTCCAAGCTGCCCCGGGGCATAAACTCATATACTAGAAGCCGGTGATCATCCTCTAAGCAGTATCCAATCAATTTCACAAGATTTGGATGATATAGCTGCCCCAAATAATTAATTTCTGCCTACAGTTCGAGAAGTGCCACAAATTAGTGAACTATCTTATTCGAAGTAATAAATGATGCTAATGAACTGCAAGAACTACCAGGAGAAAAACTGAATAGAGATGTCAGGATAACAGTGTGTTTGGTTTGAGTTTTTTGGATTAAGCTTTTTGAAAATTGAGTTTTTTGATTTTTGTGTGTTTTTTTTTTTTTTTTTAGTGAATATTTTTTTTTTAGTGAATATTTTTTAAATTTTAAACATTTTTTTTTTTATTTTTTTTAGATGCACCTTACTTAGATGTACCTAAATAGTAAAAAATTTGTGAAAAAATATTTTTAAAAATTAATAAATACATAAAAATACAAAAAATATATTGAATTCTTATTTTTTTTTGTATTTTTCATATTTAGTGAATTTTTAAAAGGTTTTTTTCACAAATTTTTTACTTTTTAAGTATATTTATGTTAGGTATGTCTAAAAGTAAAAAAAATTGCTTAAAATATTAAAAAAATTCAGTAAAAATAAAAAAATACGAAAAATAAAAAAATAAAATTTTCTAAAAAGTGTTTTTAAAAAAATAGAACCAAGCAAAGTGATGTTGGCACAGTTGACTAGGCTCATCAAATCCAAAAATTTACTCTTGAAACATGAGGGCAATTCCACTTTTAAATTTCTTGCATGCCTTTGTATTCTGCCTAAACTAATCAGCCAATAGCCGAAAGTGGAAGCCAAAGAAGGCAATTAGTACTCACCAACCATTCCTTGTGACCTTGGAAGCCTTCTTGGTTGAGTCTCTTCACAGCAATAACAGTACCAGTCCCAGGCCTGGCAGCTTTAAATGTATTCTCATCGATCCAACCCTTAAATACACAGCCAAAACCGCCTGCTCCCAACACACTATCAGGACGAAAGTTCCTGGTGGCTGTTTTGAGTTCATTAAACGAAAAACTCTTCATATTTGAAGATTGCAAGATTTCACCCTCTGTCCGAGGGGAGGTAGATGATACCTTGCTACTTGAACTACTAAAATTCTTTCTGTCTTTGCCGCCATATTTTGAGTTAAACACTGCACACAAACAATGGAAAATGTATAAATCTCTGTTAATTGTTTAATGTTTATAGACCAGACAGGAATTTTGGCTTATTAAAACAATTTCCAATTTCATGAATAGGGGAGAAAAATTAACAATCATGCAAGATGACGTAACTCAATTTCTCATGGGACAAACCAAATTGAATTGGGCTACCTTGCCCTTTAACATTTGCAAGCTCAAAAACGAAAACAAAACAACACAACAAAGTCAGAATTAGAAGTTTCATGGAGGATTTTATGGCAGTCCAAGAAAATCCATGGATTATCAAACCCAAGAAAAAGAGTGACAGCATCTAAAATTGTGAAGGAAGTTATTAAAAACATTGATGGGTAATGCAAATTTGTTGTCAGAATCAACTTGAAAAACGTTTTTTATTAAATCCATTTGATCCCAGAGAATCTTATAAAACAAAAAGGGGATCTGGGTTAACGATATTCAAAGAGTTGGAGATCATTCAATTCACTTGGAAACATTGCACAAATCCTTATATGAAACAAAATAGCTCAACCAAAACAAACCCAAAAAGATCGGAAGTCCCAATTCCCAAAACAAGATTTTTAGCAAAGAAAACTCAAAACCCATCTCAGAAAAGCTCAATTTATTCAAACCCTCAAACAATTTAAGAGAGAGAGAGAGAGGGAGAGGGAGGGAGGGAGCTTGTAAACTTGACAGCATATGTAGCTTTTTGTCAAACGCCAAGCATGCAATGAAAAATATGAAGAGAGGGAAAGTAACAACAAAGGGAAAAATAGCGTACCAGCGTGGAGGGGACTCTCTGCTTTGATTCGAACACTGAAGCAAGACCCCATGGAAATCAGACCCACAGCTCTTACCTCTCTCCAAATTCTCCTTCAGTAGAGTTCCTCCTCACCACTCCCAAAAGGTCAGGGAAAAACTTTTATGGCCGGTGGAGTTGCTGACACATCATAAAAAAATCAACAGGCAAACCAGATCTTAGAACATACAGGTGTGAACATCAGAAGAACACACACATGCATTATTATTATTATTTTTTTTTGGGTGCTCCGGTAAGGATAAGAACACAAATGTATTATTATACTTATGGTGTGAAAAGTGCGTTTATTTTTAAGGATTGGATTAGAGATTTAAAAAAGGAAAAAGAAAGAAAGAAAGCAACTATGCTGCAGATCTCTAGTGGGGGTCGTACCTCAGTGAGGTGACGGATTTTCACTGGCTGAAATTCAAAATAAATAAATAAATAAATAAAATAATTTTTTTTTATCCAATCACGACGTGCCACCTCACTGGAAATCGACCTCCAATGAGAGTCCGAAGCATTTTTCCAAGTTCCACACCTCATTAGGGTATGTCCCACAAGCATAGCTAAATTAGCTATTTACAATTCCACTTTATTACTTTACTTCATCGCATTTTAATCATACATTTCAAGAAATTCTCAACTTTAATTATATTCTTCTAAAATATTATTAAAACCTTTGGATGCATGACCGAATAGATGACCAGAGTCAGACAAAAAAGCTTTGGATGGTTGGTCACCTGGTGAAAGTTTTGTTCACTTTAGCACCAAAATGAGAAATGAGACAAAGGAAAAATTAATAAAAAATTGAAAGGCTTATGAATAGTGTCTCACTTGTCCTGTTGAGTTACTATAACTCTTAACCATTTCAACGAGACTTTAGCGAGTTTGTTGGAAGAGTGTTTTCTACTTCTAATTTAGTTTCTATAGTTGAAAAGTAAAAGAAACGAGACTGCTAGAAATGTTCTTAAAAGATTAATGGTGGTTTGGATATGAGTAGGAGTGTAAATTTGGTTTGACCTATATCGGGCCTCGCGAGTTCTCATCATAATTCGGTTCGGGCTGAGCCGACCTACGGGCCATAAAATTAGGCCCATGTCCAGAGGGTATTCAGGCCTCGGGCGGGGCCACTGGGCCAGGGTTTGGGCTTGGGTGAGCCTGAACAAATTTTTTAGTTTTTTTTTTTAAATTTTTTTACTAAAATTTTATTATTTTTTACAAAAAAAGGGCCTCGGACGGGCCAAGCCTTGAGTGGACCTTAAGAGGCTAATGGGTCGAGCCCACGGTCGGACCGGGTTTCAAAATGATGGCCCAGGCCCAGGCCCAGGCTTAGAGTCTCAGGCTAGGCTCGAGGTCGGGCCCACCCCAGGCCGCAGGCGGGTTTCGGGTTGCCCACAGGTCGCGGGCTATTTTTACACCCCTAGATATGAGACTTTTAATTTTTGAGTAAGTTATTAATAAATCATAATAGTTAGATTTAATTCCCATCAAGTTTTAATGAAAATAAGTCCTAATAAAATCGGTGAGAAAAATAATTTTTTATTACGATTTTTTGTATATGTTACTAAAAATTTACAATTACTAAGTTTTTTTTACATGATTTTTATAAATTGTAACTAAAACTTACAATTAGTGACTTTTTCTATGATGAATTTTTTAAACTGTCGCTAAAAGTTAAAAATTAGTGACTTTTTTTGTGATATTTTTTTAAATTGTCACTAAAATTTATAATTATTGACATTTTTTGTGATAATATTTTCAAACTATCGCCGAAAATTAACAATTAGTAACGTTTTTTTAATAGTGTATGATGAAAATGTCATTAATTATCATAAGACCTATTGGACAATAAGTCTACTTAATAGGACCTGCACGTAAGTCTCTCTTTTTTTTGATTTTTAGATGAAGAAGGAAAATAATCCGGACAAACATAATATCACAATTTTTACACAAATTGAATTGGTGAAGTGTGGGTCTAAGTATGGAATAAATATGAAAATGGCCAAAACGACGTCGTTTTGGCCATTTTTATGTTGTTCTGTACTCAAAACGACGTCGTTTTGGCCATTTGAGCCACTTTTGAGCCACAAAATTTGAGCTACGTAGCATTGTCGATTTTATAAACTCTTTTCAAAATATTATTTTTTTAAAATTATTTTACAAATACAAACCAGACATGATCATTATTTTTCGGATCAAAGATTTTAGGTATGAGGCTCATTTACCACTATAGGAAGTCTTCACTTTACTTTATAATAATAGTATAGATAACTACTTTTCTATATTAGTTCTATTAGCATTCCAATTAATACTTTGAATTTCTTATTTTTTTATTATAATAATAATCTCAAATAAAATTATTATAATTAATACTTTGGACTTCTCATTTCTTTCATTTTTTTTATTACAATAATAAGCTCAAATAACTCCGCCAGGGTTGTTAACAACTCTGCCGGTTCCAAGCCCGGGTTAAAGAGGAGGGTTGTGTGTTAGGTAGCCAACAACCAACACGTAAAAAAAGCCGTTCGGATCCTTTATGAAAATGAATCCTACTTTGAATCGTTTAAATGCTAGGTTGTTACCCTCAAGTAATGCGTTGCGCCTGCCTCCGAGTGTTTCGAAAAGTGAGAAAGGGGCGCCGCATCGACACCTAGGTGCGGTGAAAAATGGGCAAAGGTTCCCGTGTTTTCCTGTATGAGCACGGGTAAAGAAGTTAGTTCAAGAATACAGGTTTAGGGTAGCCACTTGGAATATAGGAACCTTAACTGGTAAGACGATGAAATTGGTAAATGTTATGATTAGGAGGAGAGTTAGTTTAGCTTGCGTAGAAGAAACTAAGTGGACGGGTGAGAAAGTTAGGAAAATTGAGAATATCGGTTTTAAACTGTATTATAGTTGTAAGGACATACGCAGGAATGGGGTATGAATCATAATTGCCAAGGGTCTGGTGGAGAATGTAGTGGCGGTCATTAGGAAAGGGGATAGGATTATGTTAGTTAAACTAGTTATTGGAGGGAATATAGTAAACGTTATTAGTGCATACGCCTCTCAAGTAAGATTAGATGATCAGACTAAGAGGGATTTTTGGGAGCAAATGGATGAGATCTTACAGGAGATACCCATAGGAGAGAACTTGGTTATAAGTGGAGATTTTAATGGCCATGTAGGCATAGATAAACTAGGCTATGAAAGGGTGCATGGTGGATATGGTTTTGGTGACTGAAATGAGCCTGGAGAGAGTATCTTAGATTTTGCGTTGGCTTCTGACCTGGTGGTGGCCAATACTATGTATAAGAAGACGGATGAGTATTTGATAACTTTTAAGAGTGGATCAGTTAAGAGCCAAATAGATTACTTCTTAGTGAGAAAAGTGGGCCGCCTAAAATGCAATGATTGTAAGGTGATTCCTGAATAGAGCTTGACCTCTCAACATAGGATTTTGGTACTAAATTTATGTTTTAGAGGGCAACACCAAGCTAGAAAGGATGGTGGGCGTCGTAGGACGAGATGGTGGGACCTAAAAGGGGATAAACTAGAAATATTTAAGAATAGAATGGATAATGAAGGTACTTGGGACTTGGAAGATGATGCTAACATTATGTGGAACTTGATGGCCAATTGTATGAGGAAAATCTCAAGGGAAGTGCTTGGAGAGTCGAAAGGGACGAGACCCAGCTCTAGGGAAACTTGGTGGTGGAGGGAAGAGATTCAAGCAGTAGTTAAGACAAAAAAAAAAAAAATAGTGCTTTAAAAAGTGACAGAAGGATAGAACTGAGGAAAATCTTAAGAGCTATAGATTGGCTAATAAGGAAGTCAAAAAAGTAGTGAGAGGGGTGAAGTTGAAAGCTTATGATGACCTATACACTAGACTGGATAGTAAAGAGGGAGAGAAAAGGGTTATACAAACTTGTTAAGATACGAGAGAGGAAAATAAGAGATTTTAATCAAGTTAAGTGCATCAAGAGTGAGGATTCTAAGGTATTGGTGAAGGATGAAGAGATTGAGGAAAGATGGAAGAACTATTTTAAGAAACTATTAAATGAGGAACATGGAGGTATGACAATAGGGAAGAAATAGCCAGTACTACGATAAACCAAGACTATAAGTTTTATCGTAGGATTATGGACTTTGAAGTGGAGATTGCACTTAAGAAGATGAAATCAAATAAGGTTTTAGGACCCGATGATATCCCTATTGAAGCTTGGAAGTGCTTGGGTAAAAAGGGGGTTGCTTGGTTGACTAGGTTGTTTAGCAAAATTTTGTTGACTAGGAACATGCCAGATGAGTGGAGGAAAAGTATTTTAGTGCCAATATATAAGAATAAAGGAGATGTCCAGAATTGCAACAACTATAGATGAATCAAGCTAATGCGTCATATAATTAAAGTGTGGGAGATGGTGATGGGACGTCGATTGCGAGATATAACAGAGGTGTCAGAGAATCAATTTGGGTTAATGCCTGGCAGGTCAACAATGGAAGCGATTTATCTTTTAAGGAGAGTAATAGAAAAGTATAGGGAAAAGAAAAGAGACATTCATATGGTGTTTATCGACCTTGAGAAAGCATATGATAGAGTGCCCCGAGATATAATATGGTGGGTGTTAGAGAAGAAATGGGTGATAAAAGGTTACATTGATGTGATTAGGGACACGTATGAAGGGGTGGTGACCACTATTAGATCGCCTGCTGGAAAGACAAATGAATTTCCTATCACTGTTGGGTTACACCAAGGATCTACCTTAAGTCCTTATCTTTTTGCTTTAGTTATGGATGAGTTGACGAGAAATATTCAGGATGACGTGCCATGGTGTATGCTTTTTGCAGACGATATCGTGCTAGTGAATGAGACTAGAAAAGGAGTTAACACAAAGTTGGAGATTTGGAGAAAAGCTCTTGAATCGAAAGGATTCCGGATAAGCAGAACTAAGACAGAGTACACAGAGTGTAAATTTAGTAACAGCAACAATGAAAGCAGAGGAGAAGTGAAGATTGAGAACCAAGAACTGCCTAAGAATGAACATTTTCGTTATTTAGGATCGATTATCACAACAGTGAGGGAGATTGATGCGGATATGGCCTATAGGATTAAGACAGGATGGTATAAGTGGAGAAGTGCGTCTGGGGTACTGTGCGATAAACGAATACCTACTAGACTAAAAGGTAAGTTCTATAGAATGGCTATTAGACCAACGATGTTGTATAGGACGGAGTGTTGGGCAACCAAGAAACAACATGTAGATAATATGAGT